TTTTTTTTGTCCGATATTGCGATCTTGATTGACAATCATAATATGCAATGTCCACTTTATATCTTTATTTACCGCTAAAAAACATTAGACTTGAGGATTATTTTCTCAGTTTTAATTGTTTGCAAGTTGGGCACGGTCAAAAGAATTTAATAACGGCGTCAACATGGATTGCTCTTCSGTAATTATTTTCTCGGCAACAGAAATAAAAWACAAAAGCATCAAAAGCTCCAACTATTAAWGTGAYCAAGTGAMTGCGAAAACTCTCGATACCATTGTCTCTGAACTTGTAACATTCATCGCTAAACGGTATTATTTGTAATCCGGCCAATCGCAGTTATGAGATAGCACCATTTTTAATTTTMGTGTGTTTATTTTTTAAAGGTAATAACTTTTAACACGAGCAATTAGATCTAGATGCCACAATTCGTATGTTAATAATCTCCTCCACAGAAAATTGAAAATTGACATTTTCGTGAATGATTTCATTTGTTTGTAAAGTTGTTTGCGGCAGCTTGTCGTGTTGTCTTAGCATATCTTATGACTTCATTCGTATGCATAATTAATGGCGATTTTAATAGCGACAACTGAGTATGAAACAAAGCGAATTTGCAGTCTAGCGTCATTCGTAGTCACAGATATGACGGTGTCATAATGTCTGTCTTTTCTACGACATGGTYAARTCAAGATGAGARTAGTGGGAAGCAAAACCTTAGCCAATTGTCAGAGTTTTCTTGTCCACCATGTCCTCCTGCTCCCAGACCTTGGTTTCAAGTAAGCTAGTCCATTTGGACTATTTAAAGACTTTTTAGAGTTAAAAAAACGCTCTTTCTGCTGATTGGTCATAACTGTAATGTTTTTCAGTGCGTCAGAGTCGATGATATTTTCGATGAGATACATTTTTTTCGCGAGAATTTCTTATTTCATTACAGATGTTCTTGCGACTCTTTTGAGATTGACTTAGCAAAACATCATTTTGTAATTAGTAGTTTTTCTAGTCTTTTATTTTTTTATGTGGCCTTGTATCGTTATTGTCTTAGTGTTTATCCTTACTTGCATAATTATTCAGGACTTGAATTTCATTTACTGATGTTAAAATAAGCGATATTTTTATGAACGTGCGAAGTAAGAAATTAACTGAGAAATTAGATCATGTCAACAGAATTTTGACGTGATTGCAACAAAACSGGAATAAAACGTTACAAAATATCCATAAYCGTTGGTAATTACTAGCTAATACTTGCTTAGAGATTCACCCTTGTGAAGAAGTTGGCAAACATGAAAATAATACAGATTTTGGACAATTTTATCAAACGGAACCAGAGATAAKAGGGTCAACCAACCAACAGAGAGGAAAAGTAATTTTACTCTATGGGAACTGATTAACAAGCAATCTGTCTTTTGTTATTATGATGCGAATACAATAGGCACAGATAGGAGGAAAAAAAGAGAAACTTGACAATCAATTAGTGTTTTTAAGCATCCATATGCAAAGTTTTTTTTTAATTATGTCATCGAGAATTATGGACATCTGCACCTGCTTATTAGCTTCATAATACGATTATATTTACTAATATTCCGTTATACTGCCTTTYGCAAAAATTATGAGAATTGTTGAAATATCTAAATATCATAATATCGAGTGCATGATGGGTAATCCCGCGCGATGCCCTTAGTCCCTTGTCTTTGTAGTTTAGTTTTTTTTTGGCGACAGACTTATCCGTAGTTCTGAACATTTTCTCGATGTCAACAATGAATTATTCTAGCAAACCCGCGTGTTCCTGACAATATATGGATATGGATATTATGATATTTAGATATTTAGACAATTCTCATAATTTTTGCAAAAGGCTGTAACTGTTTTAATATGTAAAAATATAAATTCCAAGGTGTCTGCAAATGCAGCTTTGCTGAAAACTGTTTGTTTCCTTATTTTACAGCCACCAATAAAACGAACAGAAACCAACGACTCTTTGATAAGGTAAAAAAAATGTTTTCTGCAGAAATTGGTATAGCTTATCCCCAACTATGAGCCGATTTACGTTAATCCAGGGTTATCTACATAGGTTTTTGAATAGCTAACCCAAGATTAGCATTATTCGAGCTTTGAACAACCCGACCCTGCCATTTTCCTACTGGACTTCTTAATTAGCAAGAGAGGTCGTGTTGTCAAAAAACACCTAGTTTCTGTTGTTTGCTTGTTCAAAGACTGGAGTCACGTGTATTGCTTTTCTTCAGTGACAAAAGGAAAGAGTCGGGCCTGCGCAACAAAACTCCACCAAGCGCAAAACAACATTACATGAAACAAGCGAGATACTTTCCTGGCCAATCTACTGGTACAACTCACCAAAAACCAGCCCAAAATGGCGTCGCAGCACACGGCAGCACTTCACTTATTAGAAAGTCATCATTTGGTGTCAGCGGTGCAGCCGCTGGTAGTTACGTCCCGTCGTTCGGAGGAACAACACAACCTCGAGGTGGTGGTGGGCCCCTTGGTGGAGGTACGRTATATGATGATAGCTTAATTTTGGTTGCTTCATGAAAGTTCCCYTCACCTCCCCCCTCCGAGAATAAAGGAGGTCGATGACCATTGACAAAAACATGCCTGCTTTTTAGCCTAATTTTCACGCCAAGCAGCACTAAACTGTTCTTACTTATTTCCAGGCATAAGCGGAGCCACATGGAAACCACCTCTTACCAAACAGCCCAGCGGCACGTCTATTTACCAGCCTCCTGGCGCGTCCACCAGAAATCAAGTTCCAAGATATGGAGCGGTACACGGTCGAACAGACTGGAGTTTAAAGTAAGTCATAACCCGCCCTATACGCCTTAAATAGCCGATTTGCATTATGGCGTCATTTACTACAACTACCAGAATGCTTTGCCAACTTTCTTTTGTAATGCAATTAGTGCCAATTGTTTTATTAATYTCCAAGGGGATTAAAAATCTGAATAACAATRAAAATGCGCAAGGCTCTCTGGTAGTTATAGTAAAGTTACGTCATAATGCAAATGACCTATTAGAGTGCATGCCACATGAGTGTGAAACAATTCTTAACTAATTAGACCCTAATAGATCTAGTTATCAACTAAATAAGAATCCAGTAAGGCATAAACAAAGACATTGCATTGTGTTCATGTCTCAGTGAATTCATAGTTGCTTTTATGGTGTGCACTCTAACGCCATTTGTCACATTTTTTTACAGGTATGGCGGTGGGAGGACTGGAAACTTCTGAACATGCTATACTATAAATATTTAATTTATTGATGATGCACATACTTTTTAAACCTCTCCTTCCCTAAGTGTACTTATTCTTTGCACGGTAAAGTCCTTATATTCATTGTAAATAGTTATGTTAAATATGATTTTAGAATTAAATATCGCCTCAGTGTGGCTAGACCTGGAATGTTCTAATCGCGATAAAATCGAGCTAGTATTTCAAAAGACTGCCATTTTGAATTTGAAATGAAAACATCTAATAACCAAGCATATTTGGTTGTTTTGGAAAAATTTCATTKCAAAGAATAGAATTGTMAGAGAAAGTTATTTCTCATCACAATTCTAAAATCACAATGGCGACCGTGCAAATTGTATTCTTATAATTCATACTTCAGTCATAACTTGACTCTAAGACCGAGAAAAATAACCTTCTCCTACACCTACTCGTAGACCATTCATCTACGGTTATTTTTAGGATTCTTAATATATTCGTGCAGTCACTGGAATTATTTATTCAATTCAGGCGTGGCATTTTTTTCAAGATGGCCACCAAGCCATGCTAACAGGACAATCTGTCTAGTAACCAAGACAGCGATTTCTTAAATTATGTAATGTATAGACCAATCGAATTCAAACGATTGGATATCAAGTCCGAATTAAATAAACCAGGCATTAAAGACCCTGTTGTGTTCTTTTCATTTGCTGTTGTGTTTGTTTCAAATGTCTCTGTTATTTYGGACACTCCCTTTTACATCGACTTAAAAAAGTTTACTGTCGTTGCCTCCTTTCACTAAATTTACCTGAAATTACGATGATTTCAAATTGACAAAACGAGTTATGAATGATCAAGCGAAAAAAACGAAGTGATAACTGTGATGTCATTGAAAGTTAACCCAGTCGCTTGTCAAGACTCCCAATTCTTCCAAAGTTTGCCTGACTAGATATTGACGAATTTTTTCAAATACATTTTCCAACAATGGATCCAGCGACTTGCATGTCGCATTTCGTCTGGTTTTTCTCGCGCTACTTCTCAAAAAGGCGCTCAATTCTGGTGACCAGTAAAGAAACTCATCCAAGGCTTCTGAGAGTTCTCCCTTGTCATAGTTATCACTGCAAATATTCACATTGTTATCGACCGGACAGTCTAGTTCCGCAGTAGCTTCAAAATCAGTAATTGAGTATTCCTTAGAACGTATTTTACTTTTGGGTTTTTTATGATTCTGAGGTTGTATAAATGTATTAAGTTTGGATTTAATGATAAGATGCTTGTTTGGCTCAGAAATCTTGTCTTGGGGCTGGGCCTTGTTAGGTTTGACAGTTGGCTCGTCTATCGTATGTAAAAACTTCGCTTTGGTGGTATGGCGTTTGGACACTGACTGAATCTTTTTCGGACATGGTTCATGATACTCTTGGTTATCATTGATATACGATTGACCTTTTCCCTGTCTYATCATATCCAAAGCTTTCACTCCAATTGGCGGGAGAATAGTGTAGCGTTTGCMAGGTGGGATTGTTGGGAATTCGTTTTCAACTTCGGTGATTTTTTCACGTGTTCTGTGTTGGCTGTTTCTCCATGTAGGCGAGCTAAACTTAGCAGCTTGATTATKGATTGACGACGAGGAAGGTACATCTTTAGTAAGAAAGRTAGCCTGCTTAGTTGGTTGTCTTGAAGGGTTGCCATCGATATGTTGTCTTGTTTTCGATGAAGAAACAGGGCAGCTGCCATGGTGAGCTTGTATCGGTGGGAGAAGGACTCCAGAATTTTGGTGCTTTTGTTCGTTGTACATTTTTTACGACATCAAATTACCTTTCTGAAAATGTTTTCAACTATATCTATGGACAACGTCTACTATTAAAACCACCACCATTCTGTCACTATAGCGAGTCAGTTTTGCTACAATTTGCATATCCTATAGTTTTGCTATTCTTCTAACAATTTTTACTTCCTGATACGTCTTTCCATGATCTATTGTTCCTACATCCATTTGCGATTAAGGTTCATCATTTTAATCTGTCCCAAAAATAATTWATCACGAGTATGCCACCAACTGTTACAACTATTCTGCTTTGTCAAATTAACAACCGTTGATAAGCATTGCCCAATTATCGCTTCTCATAAATAAACCGCAACTTGAAGGGTGGAATAACAGACATTTTCAATCATAATGAATTTACATATCGGCAAAATAACTCTCACGTAAAATAATACAAAGTACACATAACAATTTAATAGGCTGGAAACTTAAAAAAACTCTTACCTTACAGTCAATAAAGTTTCCAGTTTTGTTCCAGAGCATACGAAGAGACTGCTACCGTCGATCACGATCGAGTGCACGTCACATAAGCATGAGACAATTCTTATATGTATTGCTAAATAAGATTTAGTTATCAACTAACTAAGAATTCAACAAAGCATAAACACAATGCCAATTATTTAAATTTCTTTGTAGCATTGTTCTCTTCTTAGTTAGTTGATAACTAAATCTTATTTAGCACTAATTGTTTCATGCTTATGTGACACTCTATGCACTCTAGGTGCAGTTATGTATTTCTTTATTATTATTATTTTTACCTATTAATGGTGTTTGTGGACTTCAGGTGGTGCCAGGAACTTAACCTACGCATTTTGCTGCCGGCTTTGCCATAAACTATTCCATAGTTAACTATGACTATTCACAGCACGCATATTATTATACATTTTCAGTACAAAATTCCAGGACTTTTTAAGTACTTTTAAGCAAAAAAATGCTATTTTCAAGGACTTTTTTGAATACATTTTTTGATTTTAACAGACGTTTCCTGAAGCGATTTTTAAAAATAACCACAGTTCAATAGCCGACTTGCGAATTACGCATCAATAGTCACATACAAAGGAATCAAGACGAGGCGCCGTGCTAAAGACAATAGATTTTTCACAAAAAAGCACGGCGCCTCGTCTTGATTCCTTTGTATGTGACTATTGATGCGTAATTCGCAAGTCGGCTATTCAAAAGCTAAAGCAACATGTTCCCAAGGGATCCCGGTCCAAGTTCCTGACCCTCGTTACCTTCACAGRTACACAGTCCCAAAACGTCCAAAACTAAACTGCGTGGACTAAATTTTTACAGAAGTTTTCCATCACATGTCGGGATAACCTATTTTCACGTATTTTTATAGACAACCAATCACAACGTGTGCACAACGCATACACACCACGCATGGCATGATGGGTAGCTCTCATGCTCGGTACCAGGCCTATTCGTAATTTAGCCAATATGGCTGCGTCCATCAAAGACTATTATTATTTTTTTTGAATTCATTGTTGACATTACACAGATTTATTTGTAAAATGTCCTTGAAAGAGTTTGCAAAATATCGCTCGAGAGGTTTGGAGGGAAGAAAACATAGCAGAAGCAATTCAAGATCACTCTCGTCTTCCTCGAGTTCGAGTTCCGAAAGGAGACGAAAGCGGACAAAAAAAGCCGYAGGAAAAGATGGACATTCGCTATCGAGACATGKAAAACATAAAAGAAAAAAAAGAAAGCGCAAAAGAGACWATTCATCAAGTTCTGATTCCGATACTTTTCWAAAGCGAAAGAAGAAATCAAAACACAAACATGACAGAAAGAAGAAAAAAGAGAAAAAAAGCAAGAAAGAAAAGGAGAAAAGGCTCTCTAAAACAGAGGTTGACTCGCCTAATCCACCCAAGGAAAAAGAAGCCACTTCCAAGATGAAATTCGAAACCACAGGTAGCCCAATATTATTTCTGTCATTCTTTTCTGTCAAGTTTCTAGTTGTCACTAAAGAACTTACTAGGTTTTCACAGAGCTTCTACATGAAGTAAGCTTATATACTTTAAATATTTCACTTGATACTAGATCCTTCATTGCAAGACATCAAAGAACAGCCTAAAAAGAGGTTAGCATTGCTTATGAAAATAACTTCAAAGTAACAAACTCACAGTCTTGTGAAAACCATTTTACTATTAAGAAAAATAAGTGTTTTCCTCATAAGAAAATACTGATGTTATATATTGCCTAGATCAATGGTACCTATGACAAGAGAGGAATATGAAAAACAACARAGTAAAGTTCGCAAGGTTTATGATCCAGATACTGGGAGACACAGGTTTGTTTTCGCAAACTATTGACTGTCATAGAGTCCTATCTAAAAAAATACACATAACAATATCTATTCTATATGACCCTCTAGTCTATTCTTATCCTACTAATATGGCCTGCTGTATGAATAATATATAGTTATAACATATACAATAAACATACCTTAATAATTCTCAGAGATATTTCATTTTATACTAAAGATAGCTTTTGTATAGTAATATTGATTTAACATTCAAATTTCACTGTAAAGTGAAACAAGTCTGACACTTAACAGATTACTGGATGGTAATGGATATCAAGTAGGATAATTTTCCATTAATTTTAAGCATTCAATCAATAAGTACTTAGCCTCATTTGCAGACGTTATTAGTATTGGTCATGAGGCTATCAATCACTCTAATACAGCTTTGTATGCAGTGTCATTAAGCTCATTTCATAGCTCAATACTGTATATACATGCCTTATTTCTCCTATTGCAGGCTAATTAAAGGAGATGGTGAGATCATAGAGGAGATTGTCAGTTATGACAGACACAAAATGATTAATAAGGTTAGTAATAATATATTATTTTATTAGTATTATCATAGTTGTGATATCTATCTTATGCAGTATATATTCTTTCTTGCTAGCTGAAAATTACTGCCAAATAATTGATAAAATCACTGTTCTGGCCTTACTTTAGACCCAAATATATATATGTTATTTACTGGCTGGGAGGTCCGTATAGGAAAACAATGCCCGAGGTCTTGACAGTACGGAACGAGCGCAGCGAGGTCCGTACATAAAAGACTGAGGGCAGTGTTTTCCTATATGGACCAACCTATAGCCGGTAAATAACATTTTTATTTTTTTTATTTGTATTTTATGCAACTTTGCTCGCGGCCTAGCTGCAGGATACCGTCGGACCGGGCAGATCATGAAAAACCGGACCGCATGCTAGCCAATCACAGCATGCGAATAACTAGGATACCGGGTCACCGAAAAAAAAATAAAAGTAGATTATTGTCCTGTTATTATAAGGAAATCAGCTGTTTTGGAAACTGTGACAAGTTTCAAAAGTTAATTGCTCAAATGTAAACACATGTCTGGTCATTTGAGTTAATGCAATAGTGTTTCCTTCATTTTTCAGATGGCAACCATTGGAGATGGAGCTTCATTCCAGGCAAACTTAGCACAAAAACACAAGTTTTCATGATGTCAACTTAGTGCTATGGCYATCTTAAGTCTTGGATATCTGGGAGAGTATTACCGACATCAGAAGACAAGGGATGCAATGTTAGCTCATTCAATCCTGTGGTATCTGCTGCCCTTCTGTCAATCTCGATGTCCAACATCTATTGGTAAAGACAACCTGGCATATTTGGTGCTTTAGATGTGTAGTAACTTGCAAGTACTCTTTCACAATCCAGCATTGTGTCTCAGATAGTTATAAGACCCTTTGCTGCTGACTTAATTAGCATGTTGGATTGTGTGCCATTCGATCAAACCATTCATCATCAATTCAATGTCTTGAATATGGCATGACTTGCTACTGACACAAGTTGATGGACAATATATGGCTGTCATCAACTATTTGATGAAGGTCCAAGGCCCATGTCAAGCAGAACATTTTCCTACAAACAGCAGACATTACTTTGATGCCATTCAATGTGGCCACTTGACAGCATCCACACAKTGCTGTATTTTTTGCTATAGCATTTTTTATAAAYGTGTGATACTCACCATCAAACCATTAAATGTCTGATTCATAGCTTCYTCATAKTGTTCTTTTTCTTGACTATAAGGRGGTCCACTAATGCCCAGTTTACGTTCCTGCTTAGTCAAACACTGTAAGATGATATCGGAGTGTTTTTTACCWGATCCACCCTGCATTGTTTTCCTGATCTTGGATTCATTCCCAAGACTGAGGAGATCTTGCTTAATCTAAAAATCAATGCAGRTTCATTACAAAATGGTACTTAATCATAGTAATTAATAATACAGTTTTTGGACTAAACTTGGAACACAGAGATAACAAAACTTGGAAAATTAGTATTCCCTGTTAAACTGTGTATTGAAATGTTAGTAAAGTAGCAACTACTTACTGGTAAAGTCAGATAATCACCATGATGAAAATGACCATCCCAAATACGCACTTGAATACTTGATGATCCCTGAATTGACAAATTATAACTTTGACATAAAAATAAGTTGAGGGGGGTGTCCAGTGTTATATTTGAATGCAGAGAGTATATGTGTAGTGTAGAGAGCATCCTCGGGAACCCAGGGGAAATCTGAACGACAGAAGATTACCCCTGGGTTCCTGAGGATGTGTAGAGAATGGCCCAAGATGAGGAAAACCCATYATGATACCTGTAGTTGATGAATGTCTTGTCTTAGTGCTTCACGTAAAGCAATATCGCCAGGATGAGATAACAGGAATTCCATAAATGACTAAAACAAATAAGAAACTTCACATCAGAAGAGACCAGAAACATGATTTTAGTTGTTTGCTGTAGTGAAATTGACAACCTATTTAAATAAAAGCACCTAGAAATCTAGATTTAGCATTCTGATTGTTCAAACTACTTTGCAGATGCCTGTAATTTGATTCACTGGTCAAATTGATACCAATACAATCAGTGAAATGCTCCCTTTCAGAGCTAGTTTTCAATAACAAGGGTGGAAAATCTAGAGTTATTTTTTGTGTGAGATTGTTCARCCTGCTCATTTTTCCATGGATGAGAAGTTATTTATGGTTTGTTATTTATTGATATGCCATTTTTACAGTTGGTCTGAGAGCTTATTGTCAAGCTATATTGCAACTTCTAAACAAACAAAATTTATGTGTGTTTTCCATTGTGTCCTTTTTCTTCACGTGCTGCAATTCATTGGTAATATAATCTGGTTACTTGTTAAAAACAGTATGCACCAATCACTTACTGATGAAGGTTTTCCTTCAAACAAYGGGAGATGATGAACTCCTGCATTAACACATTTCCTGTGCAAACAAGACTGGATAAATATTATAATTTCGTTTTAGGGATAAGGGGTTTGTAAACACTGTGTAATATGTAACATCTTTGGGTAGAATGACAAACAAGTTTTGTGATATCATACCAACTTCCACTGTTTATTCACAATCCTTTCTTAAAAAGAAGTTGCAACTAGGACAATATTTTATTATTTGTAGAACATACTTGTCAAATAACTTCAACACAGTCCAGCCTTGAGGCACTAGGTTCATTGTTGTTCCCCTTTTGACTGTCACTGTTCCGAGTGTTTGTCTGTCTGGTCTTGGCTCATAGACAGCATCCAAGCCATACAGCTGAATTACAAGTGAATTACAAGCATCCAAATGAGGATGAAATGCCTGCAAACAATCATGAAAACAATAAAAATTATTGTAGATCTGAAACTCTTATTCGTGAGTCTGGTATAATTACTGAGGATGACGACCAGAATGGCGTCGAAACGTCAAGAAGAAACAGAAATATGTGAGTCAGACAGCCCAATAACACAACCAAATAGTAATAAAAATTATTGCAACAAATGAGCTGGTCAATAGAAAATATCTTCAGTGGTCTTCTTCTCTTTTCCCCTCTTTTTATCATTTATATTTCTAACTAACCTTGGGTTTATCAATCCACCTTGGTGACTTTAGTAAACTATCAAAGTCTCTTTTATCAAATAATGTGCTTTCATCTCCACCATGACCCTCTGATGTTTTTCCTTGAGACCTTGCRTCAGGGCCTAGGCTTACATACACCAAGGCATTGACAAAGGAAGGGAATRGCAAACCAAAAGCTTGCTCTACTGTTAAATACAGGCCCTGAAAATGAGATGAAAATAAAAAGTAAATGGGTGAATGAATTATTTACATAATTACATTAATTACAATGTAAATGAATGAACAATGGACAAAAATATATGATTGTAAGTTATAATTTATGACCTTTTGTATGTCTTATGTTTGAGTATCATCAGAAAAAGTATTCTTTGACAAACCTTTCATTAATACACTTCAGGCAATGTGCTAAGAGTATATATGTTAAGTCCTAAATAATAAAGTTACAGCAATCTTGTGTTTATTTAGCAGACTTATATTTCTTAATTAATACATTTTGATAACTTATTTAAAGCAAGACTGGCAAATAATTTCATTTACAGCTCACCTGTGATTGATTGTATTGGACAAGTCGTGTAAGGTTAAGTGATCTGGCTGGTTTTCTTTCCAGCTGTTGCTTGCTCATTCGTTGACGGTACCATTGTTCCATCTTTTGATCTGTCAAATCTTCATCTAATACAACAATGATGTGAAGATTACAAAATTGTTATAGTCAACACTACAATACATAGTGTAAAGGCACAAAGTAAAACAATCACAGTTAGTTGCACCTTCAATGTTAAGTTCTTCTTCTCTGATATCTCTGATGGCTTCAATCACTGTTGGTGGGTATGGCTGAAGCTGTATGTAGTGGTTGTACAATATTCTTTCTGTTTCATCAGGAACACAGGTGGTACTGTTATAAAATCCACTGGAATATCCAGGAGACTCTACAAAATCCTGAACAACACAGGGAAATGGCTTATATAATTTAAATTTTTACTTTGATGATAAAGAACAATACAATGAATTATTTCTGACAACAAATCCAACAACAACAAATCAGGAAAAGCGATATTGTGTAGTGTCCTAAATGCCTATATTTTTACCTCATCATAGGCCATAATCCTGATAAGAAGCGAGATGACAGGGATATTTGTYAATTCCTTAAACAACTCCTCACTCAGTTTCGACACAGTAGATGGCAACTCATGCTTGATTCTCATCTGATGTCCACCAGTGTTCAAAATATACTAAAAATAACAAAATATCTGATGAAATAACAAGTATATAATTATGACCCTTACACCAGCTTTGTCGAGTACAATACACCTGTTAAGAAGTAGCAAAAGGACCAAGACACTACAGCCATGTGGGATAGGGACATAAATCTTACAGAGTAACAGCACAGCTTCTATAATATGTGTTATAAAATCCCCAGACAAATAATGTCACTATAATTTGCCCCATGATATGGTTTRTCAATACTCTACAGTACCTTGTCTGGTTCCTCTTCTTTATAAAGATCCAAAGCACAGTTTCCTATGACAACCAACTCGCCAGAGTCTACATCTAAAGTATACACCCTAAGTAGCAAGACACTGTCATGTGAAAGGCCTTCTTTTGGATGAACTGGATATCTGTAATGAAACTGGGGACAACGAGCTGGGGAATCTAGGATGGAATATGCTTCAACATCAGAAATATCTAGCACTGAAGGCTTCTTCCATAAATGGTTAAGTATCCTACCAGTCACCTATGAAAATTAAACAATCACTTGCTTGAATGGTGATTCATTGGTAGTGAAAGTTTAGGTTTTAACAAAATTTCTCAATATAAATATCATTAATTTAATAGACTAGACAGTTCCACATGCAAAAGCAGACTTGCAAAGTTGAGAAATTTCAAGTGGACAACATTGTTAATCAATGAAAATCATTTTTTGTTGTTGTTGTTGTTGCTGTTGTTATGATTGTAAAGCCTTTTAAAAGTTAGAATATTACATATTTGTCATATCATAACAAAATTGGGAAAACTTTATTGCCTAGGACAGACAAAAAAAAGTGGCAAATGATGGCAATGATGAAGCATCCTTCACAACCAAAAAGAATATCACACCAACTCACTGGAAGACAGCTGCCAAACACACTACGATAACTTCTTTGCAACAAGAAAACACAAGAATCAAGACAAAAATTGAAAAAAAATGGATAGAGAAAAATTAATATTTTTACACTCATTGATTTTTTTGATTTAAGGACACCACCTATATGTATCATGTTTGTGATAAAAGTCAATGCTGAAAGCAAATGTCSTACCTTTATTACAGTGGCATTATCAGGAATAAACCTCACTTGGTCAATATAAACATGAAAAGATTCTGTATTTGTGAGTTTCTGAAGTTGACTTTGCTGCTTGTTCTCTACCCACAAGTCACCAAGCTGCACGTCTTCATCTTCATCTTCATCATTACGTTCATATTCAGGACTAGGTGTGTTATTTTCCTGGACTGAATTGGCTAAACTTGTTGTGTTGTCAATCTGAGTGGGAGCAGCACTCGCTCTAAATTGACAAAATGAAGTTGATAGTTGGCTATTTATGTTGTGGTCTGTGTGTAATAGTGATGTGCTTTGACATTTTTGAGAGAAAGTGAAAGAAAAGACATTAGATACAGAAGACATGTCTTCGTCATTTCTCCTCCTGCTTAATAAAAAAGGAAACACAGGAGAAAGGTTTCCTAAAACTGGACAGCCCAAGAGCACCATAAACAAAATCATAGAAATTGTTCTCAAACAGGGTAGAAACTATACTATAAAGATGTGTACCATGTGTACCATCGGTATTACTTACTGCCTTGCACTACTAACATCCAATAATGAGCCACCATTGTTTAAATAAACCAATCCTTGTTGGATATCAAAGGTATGCAAGCTATACACATGGTTCAACAGGATAGTCTTYACAGAGTTGTAATCATTAGCTTGCAACAGTTTGTTCCGTAACAATTCCACCAGAACTATGCAAATGTTTTCTAAGATAAAGGGCTGCCAGTCACTAAGAAAACATTGGTCCCACACAAACAAAATACCAGGGAAATCAAGAACACCAACAAAGCCCTAAAAAATACAAAATTTTATTATTAATATATATTATTATTATATTACTAATATTTTCATTTCCCATTTTTTCAATTCCAACTCACCTCTCCTATCCATTTTCTCATGAATATAATGGGATGAGAAAGCAATGACCTAGAATCGTCATCAGTACCACTTGATTCCCTCATAGGAGTTGACTTGTCTTGTGGACTCATTGTAGCTGCCTTTTCTTTCTCCTGGTGTATAAAATTTACAAGGAATTCCCTTGGATCAAAAGCAACATTTCTCTGCATTGCATTCTTGATGTGTTCAAAGAGCACGGGGTCATTTTCTTCAAGTCTGTTTGACACACTCTCAGCAATAGTAAATGTCTGTAAGCGTGTAGGAAAGCAGTTTTGAAGGAAATAAAACAACATCTGTGATAATTCCATGCTTGTAAACTCTGTTAAAAACAAGACAAAAGTGATGTTAAAGAATTGGTTTAATTGTATTTCTAGTGTCGACAATATATTAAATTGACTGGATAAAGAGACTTAAGGTATTCGGCGAACTAAACCATAAATGACTGAATGAAGAAGTAGTGAGCATATATTCTTTGTATCATTTTTTTTTAAACAATTGTCAGACTTATTAATTCTTATAACATATTATGTTTAAAAGTAATAAAATAATTATTAATAAATACCTTTATTAGGGTTATACCCAACATAAGTCCATATCAGCGGCAATAAAATCAATGCATAATGAGGTTCATACATCCTGCTGTGGACGTACAGAATATTTAATGCTTCTACAGCCATGCCAACACACACACGTCTCATGTTGCCATCTTGAATACAAGGTACAACATTGTATATCTCCCTCACAGCATGCTTGATTACGCCATCTACAGAAGATGACACTGGTTCATTCAATCCTAATTCTTTTTGTCCCCAAATTACAGCTGTTATAAACTCCTGCTTGACATTGCTAATGTAAGTTTCAAGATCTGAGAGGTGGTGTTCTTGTGTTTGAAATATCTTGATTTTCCATAGAAGTTGTCGTAGTGTGTTTGGCAGCTGTCTTCCAGTGAGTTGGTGTGATATTCTTTTTAGTTGTGAAGGATGCTTCATCAGGAGACTGGACACTGCATCACCAAGGGTTTCACTATGAAGTCCTGATATGAGACAGCCTGCAGCAAATGGCTGAAAATGCTTTGAACAAAAAAAAATATGTACATTTATTGTTTGGAATTTACAAGAGCAGTCATTATGTAACATTAATACATTGACAAATCATAAAAAAACATTGTCCAAGAGAAATTTAGTTTACTTAATTAATAGTAGTTGAGAAAGCATTTAGCTTGAGCGGCCTTCTTATTTTAAAGTATTCCTAGTATCGTCTTAAATCTCTGAATCAAAGTACAACATTTTTGTAATTAGGCATACCTATAGAGCAGATTTCGTATGAGTGGGACACCGTTACCACACGGTTACCGCACAGTTACCAGACCTGGCCTGCACAATTTTGGTGAACCAATGGGGCACTAGAATTTGATTACAGTACGATTACGGTCACAGTACAGTACCGTCSGTTTCCCACTCATACGAATTCCGCTCTATTACTACAGAATGCTAATGTGTAATAGAAAGAATAAAACCATCACATTATTCACCAAGTTACTTTGCTTGTTTTCTGCCAAGGACAATTCTCTATCAATCCCTTTATAAACAACTTGATGTACAAAGTTTTTGTATTCCATCATATCTGGTGCTAATTCTGAATCATCAACATCATTGCCATCAATTCTCTGAAGTCTTAAATTTTTAACAATCCTTTCCATTTTCTCTTGAAGCCATTCTCTGGCTTGGATGTACTCTWTACTATCCTTAGTTAGGAACTTTGTTGGATGGATTTTCTGGTTTACTAGGAATTCATTAACAAAACYTGGGCCAAGCAGATGTATGGCATTCAACTGTACTTCTGAATTAGGAGGAAGTTGTTGTACTTCATTAGCAAGTTCAGTATTGATCAAGTTCTCAATCTGCTGACACAAATGAAAAAAAAAACTATTATTTGTTTTCAAAACCACTAACCACTAATTCATTTACAATCAATTATGTTGCCAGCGATTGCCTYTGACTACTGGCAATCACCTTTGTTTGAATAAGAGATACAACCCAGGTTGAACATCTTACTAAGAATCCATGTAAGATCTTGACATGATTTTGCAAGATCTTGACAATCTTATAAATTATAAAAGAACTTGTTGAGAAATCCTGCAAGAATGTAGAATTTCCTTCAGAATCCTTCAAGATCTTTCTCTAAGACCATGTCAAGATCTTGGAATGATCTTTACATGTTTTTGGTATGATCTTTTCAAGATCTTCTAGGAGCATTACAAGTTTGATAATGCTAAAATATGTGAATTAGATATAGATAGAGTGAAATAATTCACTTTGAATTAAATAATATTATGCCATGCAAATTTATTCAAAGTTCCTTTTTCTGATAAAACTAATTCTCCTTCTGGGAATAAATTAATAGATTGTATAGATTGCACAATACCTGTATCCTAGAAATCACTATATCAAATTTCTCATTAGGGCCCTCTAAATCAACTTACCTTATGCCAAGGTGAACCAGGAAGCAATGTTTGATGATAACCAGAGTTGAGCCAAAGGCTGTCATATGGACCAGAACTCATCTTATATTTACAAGACTGTCATTGATTATTTCAAAACTAATATTTACAATAAATTTCTCAACAATTTCAGATGATTCAAAATTATTAAGTTCTAAAATGGCTTTAAAAATTGTTTTCAACAAAATATTTTCAGCCAGCCTTGTGAAACTTTATACAAAATTATATTTCTTGATAATCAACCTTTTCAAGGAGACAAAAATAAATATTTTCAATGATTATTATATGTTATGACATATACACTTTGCRAAAATAGTCTTGAAATCAAAGCTCAAGGTAACATTCAGTTATGGTGAAAACTCTGGTGATGTTATACCAAAGCAGTGCTTGAATTTCCTGTCCTTGTAGCTGTTTTCATGCCAAACACTCTGAAAACATAAAATAATGAGGTATTTGCRAAGTGTGAAAAAAGGGTTGAGCAAAGATAGACATGATTCGAATCTTGTAGCAGAAATACCAATACAGTTGATGCTAGTAGTTTATACCATACCAATCAACAATTATACATGTATAATTATTCATGCTGAAGAGTCTAATGTTTTATACCTTTGAAGATGTTCGGCACTTTGTCAAACACAGTTCAAACTGATCCTTAACAGTTTTGAATATCACATTTGTGCCACTTCTCCATAAGTTAAGACCTTCCAGTAACAAGGTTTTCTGATAATAAAAGAAGTACGCTTATAATCAATGGAAGGTATGATTACACAGATAAAATATGAAAAAGAATATACAYAAATACAGTACAATAATGAGGTGTCTCAAAATGTATAGTTGCATCTTTTAACATTGATGATATAGTTCATTACAGCACACTTATAACTATAACCAAGTAGCTGATAAACCTCATTCAGTTGACTAACATGAAAATTAACTACCCTGTTGGGCTTCCTGTGCATTTTCGCCAAAACAGGAAGCCCAATGTAGCAGTCAAGGGATATAAGGATGATGCCATTAACTAATATTACACATTGTACCTTCTTTGGATCAAGACAACATGACACACAATCCTCATATATACCACAGCAATTGTTTATGAGGCAACTCTCACAGAAGAAACGTTTTGTGCTTTCTCCATGGCTATGACAACATCCACTGGCTGAGAGGTCTTTTCTTTGACAAACAAACCCTAAAAAATACATTCCAACATAATAAGTCTGTACAATTACACAAGGTCAAAGCGATGGGTTGTCATGAATTGATTGGAATGGATCTTGTAAATAAATTTGCACAAAACAATAGATGCTTTTCAAAACATTAAACAAAACCTAAACTAGAAGGTCAGTACCAAGGGAGTTTAACAAAGGAAACTCTATATTAGACATAGTTAATAACTATGTACTAGATTACTCAGTCTTATTTTTTTTTGAGGAAAAAATTAACCTGCTGTTTACTGTATAGTTCTATCCTCATTAAAAAAGCTGTTATAATATTAATGTCATTATTATCATGTTTTCAATAAGCTGATTTTGTGTGACCTTAAAAAATATGGCATGAAAACTCAGCCTGTATTGATGACAAAAAAAAAAACGGCGTAACTAATCGATGAAATCTATTWATTGATAAAATCGATACTAATCGATACAAACCGTAACTAATCGATCGATCATTATCGGAAATTGATAAAAATCGATATTCAGCTTTGCTGTGATTATCGATTTTATCGATTTTCATCAATTTCCTATCTGTACTGAATTTACTTATAAATGATTACGCTACGTTCACACGGGGCCGGTCAAGTTTGAGGACACCTCGGTTTTAGAACAGTTTCCACTGTTCACATGGAACCGTCCACATTTCGGTACGGATTGAAGCAGTGTTTACACGGATCCATTCATGCTTCGATGTGACCCGTCCTCAAAGTGGACGGCTTATTAGCCGGCCCCAACCCTGAACACTTGACGCAGCATGACATGACGTCAGAGTCCAGTTCCAGAGTTCCAGTGTGAATACACGCCTAGAACGATTCCGTTCCGTGTGAACATAGCCGAAAACTGTGTTTTTGATAGATTTTATTTTTGGTACTCAGCGAAAGTAATCGATATTAATCGATATCTACATTTTTTTTGTGATTATCGATTTTTATCGATTATCAATACTAATCAATACTAATCAGTTTGATATATCGAGTAATATCGATTTATCGATTAGCTTTCCGATGATCGATTTTCATTGATTAGTTACATAAAACTGGCAAACATTCTTTTGTTTATTATTTTTCAGAAAGGATAAATGAAGGAAGTGAGCAATGCAGCATTTAATTACCTCTGTCATCAACTATTAAAGACGCTCCTTGGACTGAGTTTCTACATTGTCTGTATTCAGTGAGATTTTCAATGTCAATCCAGGTAAAACTCTTCAAGGTAGACTCCCCTAAGTCTTGGTCATCAGCTGACTGCATTATCAAATCATTCATAAAGGCAATGATTAGAGGTTTACAAAAATATAATAACAGAAATGAGTTATTACAAGTTGTACTACCGTAGTCTAAAGTCTAGTTTCTGACAGCGACAAACAAGATTGATAAGCGTTAAAGAATGATTAGTTTGGAGATACAAACCTTTCTAAATGATAAAGATATGATTAAAATAACTCCCAATGCAACAGCAAAAGCAATAATCCAGCGTCGAATGAAGAAAACGCTCATCTAATCTAACACACTTCACTTCCACAAATCCAACATGGCTGCTGAACGTTTACCACAGGGATCCCAACAATTAAAAATGAGAGGACGGCAAGAGCGCTAGAGGCCCGACATGAGATAGATGAAATACTTGTTATATTTCATTTTTTCGTTCCCATTCTTCTTATATTTATCTGTCTCAAGAGTGAGTACCGGAAACAAAAAATGTTATCATTTTTCAATTATTTTTCATTTTTATCGCAGATGTTGCAATGTATCTATTTTGACAGGTCGCAACAGCTATTTCTAAATGACTAAACTGATGTTCCAGTTTAGTTCCAAATGATACCCTCTGACTTTGATGCTACTGCAACTATACTGTACATACACATTCATAATCACCATGATCCATGATTTTCTTCGGAAAGGGATGTGGGGGTCAAATGTGTGCACTTTTGAAATGGTCATGAATAAGAGAAGAATGCTTGAAATGTTTGAGTCTGCATCCCTAATGCCCACCAGCTCTTTCAGGGGTGGATCCAGGATTTTCTTCAGGGAGGGGTGCGGGGCTCTCAGGAGGGGGTGCACCCACAAAAAATCATTACCATGAAGATACAAAGTAAAGAAGGTATTRAAGGATAATGATCTCAGGAGGGGGTGTGCACCCCCCTGCACCCACCGGCTGGATCTGCTCCTGACTATCTACAACAGCTGCAAATAGTTTTTTTTTTGCACATGATGGCTTTCAAAAAGAGTCATTTTGCAGGGGTGGATTTAGGGGGTCGAGCTATCTTTACAGATATTCGAAAACTTAAAACAATTATCATTGAGTTTGTAAGGCATATATTTTCATTGGAAGTGAAAAACTACAGTAGTAACCAGGCCAAAAACAATTATTTGATGCCACACAGTGGTCTTTATTATAAAATTATTATAAAATCCCCATATTTGGTTCACATGCATATATTTATTCAATTGTAATTAATTTCATTAATAAGATATTCATCTGAAAAACAGTTATTTACAATGATGATTTTTGTTGGAGGTATTTTGAAATTCTAAAGGGAGAAAGATCATAGGCCGACAAACGATCCAAGGCTAGGTCACTCAAGATCTTACCAACCACTGGGCCATGCTTAAAACCTTGACCTGTTTAATAAACGTACATTAACATTAAAAAAGACATAGGGATATGGTATAGAACAAATTTACAATAGTGTAATACTAACTGATTGATGTACATTATATACAATACCTGAAAAACCTGCAGCAATGATGACATTGTTGTACTCGGGATGTTTGTCAAGGATGAAATTGCGATCAAAACTCAACTGTAATGAAATTCAAATTGAATTGATTCATCAATCAAGTGTGACTATAACCAAAGATATGCTGTCCCCTGTGAAGCTACTACTAGATGTAAAAAAAGGCCTAGGGATAGATGGATACRACTCAACATCCTTTTCAATTATGACAGATGTACATACTGTGCAACTCTTGTTCCCATTGCAAAAATCTTACTCTCCCACTCTCAATRGCTATACAAGTTGAGATGCATGTTCATTTGCCTTCAAGGCTCAGACCAATTACAGCAGCAATGTTGAATAAAGAGACTTTTGTATGGGTGCATTAAAAGTAACAGCCCTGCAGCACAAACTGATAAAATTGACAATGTCTACAATTGTAGGTTGATTAGTGTTCATGTAGCCCTCATGTTGTGGATCTTAACTGCACACATTTTGTGTTAAGTCGACAGTATTGTTTGTATTCTATTCGTCCATTTGTCAGCCTAATTTTGTCTTTGTTTCAGCTTTACAAAAGAGCTTAAGCTATGTCCTAAGTAGTTTAATTAAATGGCATTGGGACAGTTTGCTTACCGTATACATACACAGCTCTACTATAGCAGGTTTTGTTCCATCAACAAAAGGCAAATGTTGTTTGATATAATCCTTAGCTGCAGCAATGGAGCCTTCTGTTATTGTCATTGTGGAGTCCCGCATGTCGGGATCTATTGGAGTTGAATAGGCAGCTTCTTGTTGTGCCTTTCCTGCTGGTCCTAACTTAAGAGAACATGCATTGTTTGATTTAGCACTAGAGTAAATAATGCTTTTTGTATTCTTTGTATACTTACAATATTAAAGTTTTTATACCTTTATGAGGCCTGGATATTCAAAACTTGGCAACCCATAAACATAACGACCATCAGAGGTAGAAACATCATAAAAAATAGGGAATTTGGTGAAGTCATAAGCCCCTGGTTGTTTGACCTTCCAGTAAAGGAATGGAGCTTGAACAGGCTAAAATAACAATATTAAAATACTTATTTAGGGGAAGATTCATAATTGTTTCAAACTATTGTAAATTGAAACTGGATCAAAGAAAATCTTAACCTAAAAATTCCAAGTTCACTTACTTTTACATCTAATTGTATTCCCAAAGGTTTCAATACTTTATTAACCCAAGGACCTAMGTGTTGACAGACATGAATAATATGATAAAGAGTAATATTCTACACCAGAGGTTTTCTGTGTTAAAATGAATTAAATACTTTGAGTGAAATTATGCATTTGATCTTCAAATGAAAGGACCTATCTGTGTATACCACAATCTATTGTATTATGGTTAGGTTTCTTTGTATTTTGGGGTTTATTGTTCAGCTTCTGCTCTATTGTTTTGATCTTTTTTTTTTTGAATTACATAGTCTGTGCTTATGTTATTGCTCCAGTACATGCAGAAGCTCTCAAATAACTGTTTTACCTGCTGTTACAATGATCTTTTTGCATCTGTAAGAAGATCTGTTTGTAAGAACTGTAACACCACTAGCATCAGGCTGAATTTTGATAACCTCACTTCTATCATAAAGGGTTCCTCCAGACTCAACAAACTGTTTCTAAATTTCAGTCAAATCAATATTGATCATGTTAGAAAATCTGTCAAACATGACATGGCTGACCACGTTTCCACACAAGTCCACATGGAAATTACACAGGATACCCGTGGAAAATATAGAAACTAGTAAGAATATAATATAATTTTCTGTCTATCAGCAAAAATACAGGAATACTATAGCATTTAGTGAGAATGCTATGGTCGATTTGCTTATGATGCATAGGAATTCAAGATGGCACAGGCAACTATATGATAAAAAGCTTTGCTACGTAGAATACCTGCAGGTGTTTTAAACACTTGTCAGCCATCAAGATTCCTGCAGATTTTTCATAGATTGCACAATAACCTGGGCCATACACAAGACCAGGAAACTGATCTTTGAGGTCTTTACTTGAAAGAAATTGATAATCAATATTTTCCCTGCGTAGATAATGTTCTTCGGTTTTGAGATTTGTTCCTGGTGGTTCTTCTACTTCTAGCATCCCCACATTCCTTTAAGCAGAAATTTTAAGTGTGAAGGAGAGTTAATGGTCCACATTTACCTATATCTTTCCCTATACTACCTAATGTTATCATGTTTTTTGGCCAATATAAAATATTAACATATATTCAAAATATTTTTACATGATCATTAACTGATGGATAGGACCATTAGCTCTCAATATTTGTTTCATATAATGAAATTCAAGGCATCACTGGTGTTATTACTCACTCAATAAGAATTGTTTCTCCAGCTTGGTTTTGAATATCTCTCCACATCTTGAGTGCATCATTGGCCATTTTAACTATATGTGGTTCAGGGTCAACACAACGGAATACTCTGGTTTGTCCATGGGAGCTACCACGCCAGTGTGGCAAAGGAAACTGTCCAAAGTTCAAACAATTATATACTGTGTTCAGATTAGATATTCATGCTTGTTAAGGAGCAGCTGTGATCATTTTGTTAATTCACGACTTTCCATAATCAGTTTCAGTGAACACTATAACTTAAGCATTGAACCGAGGCGTCAAGGAACACTGATCACAGATCTTTTCTTTTATGCTCACTGTATCTTGACGCCTCTGTTCAATGCTTTGTTTATGGTCACTGAACCTGAGTATGGAAAGTCRTGAATGCAGTTGTATTTTAGCATAAAATAATCAGTAGCCTGCAAAGATGCATCCCTGAGTAATGCAATATTTAGATCAGCCTTAGATACAAAACACATCAAAGGCAAAATATTAAGTCTAATCATGGTACTGTGATATTATTTTTGCCCAGTCTTATGTGGTTCCTATTATGTTATATTATTTTACATCTCTATTCAAACTGCAAGAATCATTATACATCAAGTTGCATCAAGTTGCATCAAGGTGGGTACTAGGAAACCATTTACTACACACATATTTTGCAGGGATGTGAGGATCAGATAATATTACAGTTGGGATTTTGTACCCCTCCCCCCCTCCCCCTCCCCCCTCCCCCTAGATTACATCAGCAAATAAAGCAGATGTTGCTAGGCAGTGGGGTTGTGTGCATGCATAAATTTTTATCATATCACACACAGGGAAGGATAGCCTTCGTAGCAGACATTTTTTAACGGTTCTATTGTCTCTTGCAAGGAGACATGTACAATCAAACCGCTATTAAAAATGTCTGCTACAGAGGCTGAGGGAAGGTGGGGTAGGATGAGGGGTGKTGATGACATCACAGATCTAGCCTTTAAACCTCAATGCGAACGTGAACACAGACCTAAAAACATTACCTGCTCTAGGAGTAGTGTCTTCTTCCCTATCTTTGCAAGGTGTCTTGCAGTGGAACTGCCCATAACTCCAGCACCAACCACACATACATCGTAAGATGAATCCATCCTTGACAGAACCAATTGCTAACTAAATTAGGAAGAGTTCAATAATATAGCTTATTCAGAAAACACATACCGTATTTACTCGAATAGACGCCGCGGCRTTTATTTCTTTTTTCACGATTCAGCTGCGGCGTTTATTCAAGGGCGGCGTCTATTCGGGGGCAGCGTTTATTAAAAAGACACTATTCAGTACTGCATACCGTACTTTATATTGTATCTTTTTACTAACAAACAGTAACGAATCTCCATATATATGTCGTGTTCATTTTGTCTATTCAATTTATGATTTTATTAAACCAGAGTTAAACTTCTATTTCAACATCAATGTCCTCCTCGTGGTCAGAATCTCTAAGAGCAAAAATGTATAGTCACTTCAAAATAAAAAATGCTCTAAAAGAAAATAAATTCACATTGCTCTGGTATCATTATTTCCTCAAATTCACGCCGCACCCAGATGCGGCGTCTATTTGAGGGCGGCGTCTATTCGAGGGCGGCGTCTATTCGGGGGAGGCGTCTATTCGAGTAAATACGGTAATTAACGAACAGCAATGCATGTGACCTCAAGGTCGCTTCGCTACAAAAATATTTTCTTTCACGCTTGGGAACTGGCTTCCGTTAAACTTATTTGTCCCACAGATTGAGATGTTATTGAACTTAATTCACCTCTATTGCATAGAACTAGTCTGCAAGGTCTGCATATATGGCGATAATTCATTGTGTGTATAAATTAAGTTAAGCTACATTGTAAGAACAAAAGCTGCTTGCTAGTTGACACAGTACGAGCTGTTGACCTCCAAATGCAGGTACTTAAATGTACAACTCTACCTAGGCTACCACTTACCTAATACTTTACGCGATACCCTGTGTTTTGTTGATGAAATCGAGTTGACTTTTTAAAAAGATCTACATAGGACATAATAATGGTCACAAGCGGTAATGCGATATCTACCACAGGCAACCCGCCAAATCCTTAAAATTTTCTTTTGCTATTGTTGTTTGACTGTTTGTTTGCTTTTTGTTAACTTTTATTGAATCATTTGAAAATAAAATTCTCACAAAATGAATGAAAATTTTGAAAAATACACACATAGGCACAATAATATCATGCGAGCATCTTCACAACTTATCTGTGGATTCCCTGTGGTAATTTGTCAGCTCCCAGACGGCACTGTGTAAATGATGATAATTTGTGTTCTTAGGTTGTTTGTCTGAGTTGAGTAAAATTTGGATTCGTTGGAAAACTAGAAAAGTAAGATCTGATATATAGCTACTCTAGTAACATGGCCAAGATCACAGAGCTTCCTTCAGATGATGATTCTACACCAGAAGCATCCAACAAGCCTTCTTCCAAGTCCCAGCAAAACTCTCTACCAAAACGGAAAAAATCTGATGAATCGATGTCTTTGAAAAACACTAGTGGTGTTTTATACGTTAATTATATCTTATTGCCAATAGTAATGATTATTTTAAGCGCTGTATTTTTGTATTTCACTCAAAATCACGATAGAGAGGCGAAGTCAAGCCGACAAAAGAAGGGCATCTTGATGACAGCCACAGAGCTTTCAAAGCACGATGGATCGGACTCCAGCATACCAATTTACATTGCAATACTTGGACGTGTGTATGATGTTGATAAAGGCAAAAGACACTACGGCAAAGACAGCGGTTATAATATATTTGCAGGCCGTGACTCTACTCCATCTTTCGTGACAGGACAATTCTCAAGAGAAAAAGCTACAGATGATGTCACAGGCCTCAGTCCTGAAGAAATGCTTGGAATAAAGGAATGGATGGATTTTTACAGAAAAGATTACACCTATATTGGCAAGGTAATTGGAAGATATTATGATGAAAATGGCTCACCAACTTCTGCACTGAAAAAAGCTAAGAAACTTATCAAAGAAGGAAAACTCCTCAAAGAGAAGCAGAAAGAAGAAGAGAAAAAGTTTCCACCATGTAATTCAAAGTGGAGTCAGGACGAGGGSTCTGAAGTGTGGTGCTCAACAGAAAGGTATGCTTGTTTGTGTTTTTCAATGTGCTCACAACGAAAAGCAAAGTTCCTCACTTAATTTTTAAGTGTTACAAATGCATAACAATGTCTTTTCCAAACTGATTGCTAAGCACCCTTTCCTTTTGTTAATGGAGTTCTTCCCCAGAAAATCCAAGAGAGAAAATCCATTTGATACAGTTACTGACATTTTAGGATATATTTTATGAGTTAGAAAGCAGTCTGCTTCTTTTTAATAAACTTATATTATTTTCAGAGCCATGTGCTTACCACAATAAACAGCAAATACCAAATTCCTTAATCTCTCAGGTCGATGAATATTTTAATTSWTACTTAAATTTCATTTATTRTGTAGTGGAGGAATTCGAAGGAGTTGGACTGGTGTTCCAAGACAGTTTTTCAAGCCAGGCAGTAGACAAGCAAAGTGTGTTTGTGTAAGGACAACAGGGCCATCTAGTGATACATTGGAAGGAAATGAAGGTGACTTGAATAATCCCAACCTAAAGTTATACCCAGGATGTAAAAGGATGGATGTTTTGTGCAAGTTAAAGAGTTAATTGAACWTTGGTATTACAATGGACAATAAAACTATTGCGGAATGCTATGGAAAATCCTGGAATGAGAAAGCCCATTGATGTATTGGAACAAAAGTGACCTCAAATCCCAATTTTGTCATTGAAAGCTGCAGAAGTCTTTGGCATTGTTAGTTTTGGCCAAACTCATGCAGTTTCCCTTGACAACATTCAACAAAAAACATCAGCCTTAATACTTTTTTTTCACTCATGTAATGGCTTGTTTTTTTTTTCCAAACACTTACAAATTAACATGCATTCAGCTGAACCAACACTGTTGTTCAGTTTTTGGTTTTGCTGCATGCATGCTATCACGAATCTTTAGTTATTTCAGACATGATGACATTACTCAGATTTGTTGTAAAGAGAACTTGCTTACATATTCGCATACAGCTGTACAACTTGAGACTGTAGTATCTCACTCAAAATGTCTGAATGTTTACGTTTAGGTTAAAAGAATCAGAAACAACCTACAGTACAAACCTAATGATTTTTCCTTGTATTCGTCATTTTTTCCGTTATGGTTTACAATAAAACKCTTATTATTATACATAAATGTGTAAAGTCTTGCTATAAAAAAAAAGAAGTTTCTGTAGCTTCAAAGAATATTACAATAATACAGTTTTAACAAAAATATAATCTTAAGAAATCTTGATATTCTCTGGCCATATTTTTCTGGCTTTTAAAACAGCTGGCTGTGAAGACAAATGAAAATAAAWTTTTKTTTGTCACATGGAAAAATACAGAAGAACATGAAAAGGCAGCATCATTGTTATTTGAAGTATGTACTAAACAGATACAGGCATTCCCTTGTCATGTTTCTGAGATGAGATGTCCGTAATATGCTGTTACAGTTTTACATTTCTTATTCACAAAGTTTTGCTCAATTTCCACTTTCCCACCACGGCCAGCAAGAGAAGCAAGCTGTTCTGCATCAACATTCCTAGGCATGAAATATCCAACGTTACTTGTTATTTCCTTGGCTTTTTCAAATAATTTGAAGCCATCCAAGAGGATCATTGTCTTGATATCAAAMACTTCAGCCCTTGCATAATTGGGACCTCCCCATGGTGGACTAAGGAAGACCACATCTCCTTGAAGACTGTCAGCAAGTTTCATAAAATCACCAACTATGAACTCTATTCTGTCTTGTACTCCATAAATCTTTGCATTATGTCTTGCACAAGCAATCTTAACAGGATCTATGTCTATTGCTATCACCCTCTCACAAGTGAAGGCAAATTGTATGGCATTTCCACCAACTCCACAGAAASCATCAATGATTAAATCACATCGGCATCTCTCTGCAATGTGTTGTGCTATGCGCTCTGGAGTGACAGAAAACCATCCCTCTTTGTCCATCTTTATGCCGTCATCAAAACGAGAGAATAACCTATAGCGCTGGTACCAATATTTTGCAATGTCAGGATCCTGCCTCTGAGATTCCATATCAACAAATTCAAGTGTGATATTTGTATTTGGAAAAGTACCAGCATTCTCAGTGACATCACCATTACTTGCATCCTTATTAGATATTATTTCAGTTGACTTCACTTCACTTAGTTGGTTCAGCCTACATTCTCCTCCTTCATTGGATTCTTCAGAATCACTGTTTTGCGATTCAGCYGATGACTTCTTTTCCAGAAATGTCTTTACATCTTGAAGTAATTCATCATAAGGTTCAAATGGTTTCTGATAAATGCTCAACTTTTTGTTTTTCGCTTGTAATTTCTGACATTGAAACTCTATCTTTGCTGAGCCAAACTTTGGAAGATCATCAAAGTTCTCCCCATGTGGATGTGCCACTTTGAAACCCATCAATTTGTATGCCTTKACTAGYTGAGGGTTTCTTTGCTCTTCAACATCCAACTCATGACTTCTCTTCAGCTTACGAGGAAGCTTGTCCTCAGGAGGTTGATCATCTCCATTACTTTGACTAGAACTTGTGTTTTGATTTGAGTTCTTAATCACAGAGCTCTGTGAACTCTTGCTTCTTGCTTCATGTTGCATTTGCCCTCTTTTCTTTGCCTTTTTTGCTCTTGATCCACAATGAATAGCATCACTWGGTTTGTGTGTATCTCCAAGTATTTCTCCAGCTTCCACTTCATTTGTGTCCAGACAATCTTGAGGTATGTCAAAGATGTAGCCTTCACTTTTCCAGTGTTTATACTGCTCATAATAGTATGCATAAACATCTTCGTAATTCTGATTCCACAATGCTTGAACATCAACACTTGCTATGACAGGTATTTCAGTTTGTCTACCATTTGAAACATCTAYTGGTTTCTCATCTGGTAAGGTTGTAAAACTACATGAATGGTTTGATTCACTAGCATTGCAAGGTTCAATGGAAACAACGTTATCACATAACACTGTGTTATCAAGTTGTTCTTTGCTTTCTTCATTTTCACTTTCTTCTTTGTTGTTATCATCATTTGCGGTAAGTCTGTTACTATGTTCTTCTGTGCTCTCAGACACACCAGCCTTACCAGACATTTCCATTGATGTTTCCAGTAAGCTTCCATGTTGAGAAAGCCAGCTATCCCATACTAATGAATACCCATAATATTTCCAATAATCTTCCCAGCCCTCAACTGCATGGTCCAACTCTTCACCAGCTTGTTCTGAAGTGGCATCATCSTGTCCATTTGTATCATCAGAAATATTTAGTTCAGATACCTCAAGTTTGTCCACAATGCAAGMATTGTTCTTTGAATTCTCTCTGTGTATGGAGGTTTCTTCTGTATTGCAMAAATGTATGTCCTCTTTTGGTGGGCATTCTTCCACACTTAATTTCTTTATGGTAGAGCATTCATCTGTAGTCTTTTCATAAATCTGTGTTGGCAAGCACTCAGTTGCATCTAATTTTCTTGAGCCAGATGCCTCATTACTTTGGTTTACTTCACATGTATCCTTTTCTGTCTCAATCTCTAATTTCTTTTCCAGTTTTCCTGGACCAGGGCATGTTTCTCCATTTGGGGTCACTTCTTGCAAATCAATACCTGTATGTATTTCTAATTCATATTGGCAAACACTTTTTGTTTCTCTAATTTTGACTTCATTTTCAGCATTTTCTTCACATACGTCACTTGCTGTTTCAATATCTAATTTCTTTTCTAGTTTTCCTGGACTAGATGCTGCTTCTCCATTTGGGGTCACTTCTTTCAAATCTTTACCTGCCTGTGTTTCTAATTTATCAGGACAAGGAGTTTCTGTTTCTACATTTTCTACTTCAGTTTCATCTAAAGTGGACCAGTTCCCAGGCATAGGAGCTTCATAAACTTCTTCCTTGTTATAATTTGTTGACYTTTGARRAAKGTCTGCTGATTTATGTTTTCTTGAAGTTCTTTTTCTTCCTCTTCTTTTCCTTGTACAACTTTTATTTGTCTTTGCTGAAACWGGAACCTGAGAAATAGAGGTTCTAATRTTAAACAAYAACACTGGCAACAACAATTAAGTTACATGACAGACTATAAAGCTGCATGCATGACACRAAATTTGACATCATTGCCAACTTTATTGGGCAACTGGTCCAGATAGATGGGCACAAACAAGAAACAGGGTGCCATGCTAGGCACCATAGGATAGCTAGTTATTGAGGGTGGTCATAGCTTCAGTGGCTGGTAAAATAAATTCTTTTATCTCCCATTAAAAAACAAATACATATCTAGTGCCTCTAAAGTAAAAGGCTTTCATACTTTCAAGGTACATGTATGTTGTGTGATACAAAATCTCTACACAATGAGTTATGTTTCAATTTACCTCATCATCTGAATCTAAACTTCTTGGTGAGTTTAGAAAACATGTTGGCAAACCCATACTGTACATCATTCTAAGTTCTTTCATTGCTTCCTCGTCTGGATCATCCATATGATCAATGTAGGGTGCTTTAGAAAGAGCTTTAGCTTTACGATGATCTAATGATGTTAATATGAAGTCATCGTCACATTCAGTGGAATTACTAAGATCCTGAAATTGATTGAAGAAGATGTTACAATGAATACTTGTGAATACATCAATAAAGTAAAAGAAACCCACAAATAATAATCTACATAGCAATGTATACTTTTACTTTTTTAAGTAAAAAAATGAATAAAATATCAAGTTTTCATTATATTATCTTTATTTAGTTTTATCTTTTTATTTCTTTTTCTATTTTTTTAAGTCACACTTTGCATGAGAATATGTTACTGTTGACATAACAACATACAGTTCTATTAGCCAATCTATTAGCACTTTTTAATTTGATCTTCTCTTTTTCATATTATATCTAAAAAAGCATAGAACACAAAGGAAGGAAATTGCAAGTGAAAATCTCGGCTTATACACAACTATGGCTCATAAAAGCCCGACGTAACTAATCGATGAAATCTATTAATCGATAAAATTGATACTAATCGATACAAACCGTAACTAATCGATCAATCATTATCGGAAATTGATAAAAATCGATATTCAGCTTTGCTGTGATTATCGATTTTCATCGATTTTTATCGATTTCCTATCTGTACTGAATTTACTTATAAATGATTACGCTACGTTCACACGGGGCCGGTCAAGTTTGAGGACACCTCGGTTTTAGGACAGTTTCCACTGTTCACACGGAACCGTCCACATTTCGGTACGGATTGAAACAGTGTTAACATGGATCCGTTCATGCTTCGATGTGACCCGTCCTCAAAGTTGACGGCTTTTTAGCCGGCCCCAACCCTGAACACTTGACGCAGCATGACATGACGCCAGAGTCCAGTCCCAGAGTTCCAGTGTGAACGCGCGCCTAGAACGGTTCCGAACGAAGCCGGCTCCGTGTGAACATAGCCGAAAACTGTGTATTTGATAGATTTTATTTTTGGTGCTCAGCGAAAGTAATCGATATCTCTATATTTTTTTGTGATTATAGTTTTTTATCGATTACCGATACTAATCAATACTAATCAGTTTGATATATCGAGTAATATCGATTTATCGATTAGCTTTCCGATGATCGATTTTCATCGATTAGTTACGCCGGGATAAAAGAAGGGACGAAAACTGAAGAATAACTTAACAAATGAATGACATGGGAAGACAAAAGATTGGACTTTTTTAGGTAACTAAGTACGTACTCTATGCACAAATCTTGTTTTTGGACTTAAACATGTGTCGCAAAACAAATTATTTTACCTCAAGTTGTAATTCTGAACGTTCTCCATCTGACAACTGATCTGCGTCTCGACTGCCATCTGATAAACCAACCTGCTCAACATACTCTACATCGCTGTAAGACAACGATAAAAACACAAAATTAGAACGTGAAATAGATTGTAAAACAATCAAAAACTCTTCAAAGACCCTTCAAAGCCTTCAAAAGTCTTTACATGCAAATAGATCGATTTCAACACGTGCAGAAGTCGACGCAGTCATCTAACTTACCTTAGGAATGCTCGAGTACAGARACATTGAACAGCCTGGGATTTAGTCATACCATCAAAAAACATTGTAAGCTTAGCAATAGGACTCCAGTACTCTTTCATAGTGATCTAGTTTCGCATTTTCTAGTAGCCAAAGCCTAAAACACAAAACGTTTTAGAATCGTTTGCATGAACATCTCAGAAAACGCGCGCAACACTGGTAACTAGTTTCACAAAGGAAGCCCAAAACAGGGAATCTCTCTCTCTTTTTTCCCGAAAAAGTGAATTCTAATGAATTTCGAAAATCCGTCTAGAAATATGAACTTTCCAAAAAAGCTTACTTTATCGTGTAATTCTTTGTCGGAGTATACTGAATAAGCGAATTTTGTGACTTGATGAATAAC